TAACAATTTGTATTTTGAAGATAACTATACCAAAAAGCAATTACTTGAAGTTTTACAGACAAAAACATTTGAAAAAGTGTATGGATTTGAGAGTATTGCTGAAAAGTATGGACACATTATACTGAGACTTCCCCCCTATTTTTGTGTTTTCAATCCCATCGAGTTAATTTGGGGAAAATTGAAACAAAGCATAAGGCGTAAAAATAATTTTCCAAAATTTGTTAGAGCTGATTAAAGGAGAAGTATCTAACCGAAGAAGAGTGACAGAAAAGGATTAAAAAAGTAGTTTTAGTTGAAAAAGATTACATGGAGATTGGACACTTCCACATTAATGGTGAAAATAAATTCATTATTGATTTAAATGGTGAAAATAATTTCATTATTGATTTAAATGATGACAATAATAGCGAAACCGGACACAAATTCCAGCATCGTAGTTTTTGCCATGCGAATGACGAACACCTCAACCGTTACCTCCTCGCCTTTGATGTCTACCGCAGTAGTAGCCGAAACGTCAGGTATAAACACCTGCAGACCACGGCCAACAAACCCGGGAAATAACTTTGACACAGTTATTTCCAGAGTGAAAGTTCACATTCCTAAATTGAGTGATGTCTAGTGTTGCAATTAACATCAATTGTTTCCTCTAATTAGTTGATCTGCAACAGATATAGGCGCCGAGAAACAATACCTCTTGGTAATACACAAGATTCTGTGCGAGTGTGTGTGAACAAACAAATATCTCTACCCACTACTTGTTCTTACCTGCTTTGCTGAGAAACCGCGGCTCCACCCTTCATCTGGGCCCGTGCCTCTGCCACCAAATTCCTTTCATGGTTGGGAACGATCGTTGTCGATACGGAAGCCGGGAAAAGCCCCCTATCCTGCTGCTCCAAATACTTTTGCGTTTCAATCGCTTCTTGCAAACCCGGAAAAAGATTCTCGTAGCTCTTCGGATCCGCCAGACTCTGACCAGCTTTCTCATTAATTGACGTCAGTTTCACCTTCCACAGTTCAACAATTTCCGATATTCTGTCCGGCAGGTACGAGCGTGCGAAGAAAGCAGCCTCGGGTAGGCGTCCCGTACTGACCAAGATATCCAAACATTTCGGCAGATCTCCCACCAGAAAATAAGAAAGGAAGGAGAGGTTATGCTTTCCTTCAGCTTGCGTGAGTTCTCCCAAGCTCTGAACTAGTTGATCATCTCCAGAACTGGTGGCTAGGAGGAGGAGTCCTCCGTAATCCTGAGCCTTCTGCATACACTCTTTTGCTAACTGTAAATTATTTGTTGACGCCGCAAGCTCTGCTAGTTGGCTCCACTTTTGAGGATTGTTGGCTTCCTGGGCTAATACTTTGGCGGTATCGAGGTCTTCCAGGGCTACAGCGAGTTCGAATCGATGCTCTGGATCAGTGCTCACCGCCAAGGCTTGCTGCTTGAAGCCTTGTTTTTCTAAAAAGTGAGCAACTCTTGTTCTATGCTCCTTGGGAATCGAAGGCAGAACACGATCCGCTGTAGGAAAGTCCCTCCTCATAACTGCCGTTTGGTATTCAAGAACAGACAGTAACAACTGATAACTCACAACTCCTAATTCTTTGTCTACGAGATACAATCGATCGTCCCTAGGAACATACCCCAGCACATACAGAGGACGGTCCAGATGAGCTATCGTGACAAGTTCACCACCAACGAAGTAATTTATACGATTGACGGCGTTTGTATAAATGAAACAGTCTCCAACCCAAAGACCTGTTCGGACAGACTCGTTCATTTCCCCCAACACATCGAAAGCGGCCTCTACGCCATCCTCTGCGACTTGATTGTTCTCCCTGGCCTTCTGAACTTGGTCCGAATCATAAGAAAGAATGAAGTAGCTGTCCTCCGTTGCGAGACAGACTAATTTTCCACTGTCAGACCAATAAACCGCCCTCGGTTGTATTTCAATCCGTCTCACCAAGTCCAAAGTTTCCCAATCGTAAAACGTTAAACCGGATACCGATTTGATTCCCAAGAGAAAACCCCCGTATATTCCTTCCGCGCTGAAATCCGACTTGAAGTTCTTCCTTTCTTTGAAGTTTTTGAATATTCGAATTGTGGAACCAGACTCGCGAATGGCATACTCGCTGGAGTCCTGAGCCCAGACAAACTCTTGAGCGCTTCCAAAAGCCTTGTTCCGTAGAGCCATCGCTGTGTAAATGATATATTCGCCGTCTCCACATACTACAACGAATCTTCCATTCGGATTGTGTTGGATTGTTTGAGGGTATATTTCACATGCTCCCATATCTTTTACAGAGACAGGTAAACGCTCCCCATCTCTTATTTCTCCACCTAGAACAAGAAAAAGGTACTTGAAAATAATGAATCTCGATACGCGTCGAGATGAAAACAATTCCTAACTCTAAAATTGATCTCCATTTATATCTAAAAGGGTTTTGACACAAACTGAACCCGAAAATACAGTTGAAAAAACCAAAGAGTTTGTTCACCATACACCTTGTTCCTGCGGAAAAAGTTATTTATGATCCATTAGTACACCTAGAAAATTTGGGCGTGGATGATAATAATAATAATAATATTTATTTATCCTTTGAGACGTTAACAACGTATAGGACATGTCAGTACAACACGTTAAAATAGTATAAAGAAAATAAACATACATTAAGATAAAATATCTCAGTAGTTTTAAAGTATAAAAATGTATAAAATATAAAGAAAAAAAA